TGACTGTAATTGCAATATAAGAGAATAGGCTCAGATTCCAGGAAGAATTTCTCAACTACTGAGATAACTGGGAAACTAAGGGAGCCATTTTCTCTGAAGCCTTTTGACAAGAGACCACTGAGTGGGCAACTATGCATCTTGGGCAAGGACATTCAGAGGCAAAAGCAATGACCAAGCAACTTTTTGGAGGTCTCTCTCCATCCCGTGACTGCTTCTGTTTGTAAGGATGAAACCCCCTGTGTCTCATACACACAAGAGCCTCTTGTAGTTATCTTGGCAGCCCATGCATTGTCAGGCTGTCCATTTCTTCCCTGCTGGTACAGTATGGTCCAAGGTGTAAGTAGTGTTTTTACATATTGTTGCATGTTCCACATTGATATGTGAGAATCACTTCGCATTGCAGTTAGCAAAGAGGAGGAAATGAAGCTCACTCCCAAACTGGAGACAGGAATGTTGTATTTCACCCTCTTTGACAGCGAAAAGCCAAGATTTGCCAGGGGGTGAACACATGTGGGTATCTTCTTAATTCTCCTAAACTCAGTTCAGGGTTGAAATCAGGGTTTGCTGAAGAAGGAAAACTGGATTTGGATTATGGATGAGGGACTATTTGAACAAGAGGAGCAAGAAAGGGAGAGTCCACCCAGACTTAACTTCTCCTGGCAAGATTCTTATAACATGTCAGGATAACAGGCAGACGCCAAGTGTTAGCCAAGAACGAGCCAGCCTCCTGACCCCAGTACAAGCCTGAATGTATTTAATCATAACAGAAACCTTCTGAAATGGCTGGTCCAGCATAGCAACGCATCTAGGGAGCCCAGAACTGGACTTAAACCCCAGCTGCCTTACTCCAGGGCCTGAGTAAGTATTTGGTGGTCAAAGAAAGAGACTTGGAGGCCAGCTGTCCTGACGGAAGCAGCTGCCTCCTCTCATTCCTGTCTCTCGGCTCTCTCACATGGGGCTAATGGGGCCATGCACTTCGGCAGAAAGTGAAGCTGCAGTTAATGGGTATTCCAAGTCTACACAGCACTCGGGAAGTCAGCTCAGTTGTCCCCACGACTCCAGCTGTGCTCATGTGTACCCAGACTCTGTTGTCACTGTAGGATCTTCCTCAGTCTGTAAGGAATCTCTTTCTGGGCCAACAAGTTAACAGAACACCAAGAATAATTCTTTGAAATGATTATTGCTAAAGATGTTTTTTCTAGCCCCGATGTTCTCCTTTGTGGTGATGGACCCCCAATCAAGGAGTCAGTAACCAAGAATCACTACAGGAAAACAGAGAAGGGTCCATTAACCCCCTGGCTTGTAAGAGGCTATCGTGATTAATACGTTTATCTTCTTTTAGATGAATGCCCTATAGCAAGAGGCAATGATTACCAAACATTGGATAGGTCCATGAATAACCAGAATGTACCAGAGTGCTTTGAGTGGTTGCAACATCTGGATTCTCAGAATCCTAATCCATTGTGAGTTTTAAAGGACTACATTAGCTCAAGCACAGCAGAAGAGATGGGAACCCCAGTTTTTAGAAACCCAGAAGTCTTATAACCACACAAATCAATTCAATCTACACATTATTTACTGTGTGGCAGATACCGGGCCAAAAATAATGCATGTTAAAAAAAAAGCTTGCCTGTCCAATCAGAGAAATAGACATGTATAAAGGAGAATTATCTTGCAATAGGAAAGCAATGGGCAGGCAGCACAAACGCCTAAGAAGAAGCGATAGATTGCTCTCCCTAGGGAGAAACGTTAAATGAGAGATCTGGCAAGGCTGCCCAGAGGAAGCAACATTTGCTTTGAGTCTTGCAGGTTGAGGGAGACTTTATTTTCCCCCAGAAAGAAGAATAGGAAGAAGCATCATAGATGGAGGGAAGGCACAAAATCATTCAGGCCTAAATTCAGCTGTCTCAGAGGGAGGCTCCCATACGGCAGATACCAGAGGACCTTGTCCTACATGCTAAGAACCCAGGTACTTTGTAGGAAGTGGGGTAGCTCCTGAGTTTTGAGAGCTGACCTATCAAAGTCAAGTTATCCTTTCAAAAGCCAGCCATGCTGATGAGACTGGACCAGACATGGTCGGCTGCTAGAGGCTGGGATTCTAGCATGGAATCCTAGCATAAAGGACCTTCCTTGGGCACTGAGGGTAGGCTGCAAAGAGTGGGCATGGAGCTTCTGCAGACGTCACAGGAGGCCCCAGCACCAGGCTGACGATGTAGCTCAGATGGTAGAGTATTTGCCTAATTTTCACAAGACCCTGGGTTCGATCCCAGCACTGCATAAATCCCAGTGCAGTGGTGTCACATGCCGATAATCCCAGTACTCAGAAAGTAGAGGCAGAGGAATAAGAAGTTCAAGGTCATCCTCAATAGTTCACCGCTTGTCTTGGGTACAGAAGACTGATGAGGAGAAGTGTATAACTGAGGGCGCAGGAGAAAGCAGGAAGTGAGATGGGCTGCCCTGGTGCTTTCTTACACCACACCCACAATCAGCTTAGATTAACAATTTAAGAAACCAAAATCGAAGTGACTGAAGGTGCACCCAGGACCAATTGTAGCCACAAAGCCTTGCACTGGAGGCTCCATGCCCTAGCTTCTAACCTTGTTCCAGACCTGGAGACTGTGGTCACAGTACATATAGTGACACCTCTCACACACCCCCAAATCCCTCACCACCCCACCCCTGCCTGATGACTGCCATCTCTTTCCAAATCTTTTCCTTGTGAAAAAAACCTCCTCTAAGCTTGCCATCCTCTCAGCCTCCCTCCCTTCGAAAGCAATCCTCTCCTCCCACTCCCCATCTACTCCATTCACACGTGGCATCTTGCTAGAAATAGCAAGCGTAGGGCAAAGAGCAATGAATCAAAGACGAGGACAATCCACGTTCCAAGTCCAGTCTAACCCAGCAGCTGCTTAGAGACACTGCCTGACCTTAGGCTACTCTGTGGCCTCAAATCAAATGAGAAACAAACACTAACCTTTGTTTCCCTCGCAGTCTCAATATGAGGACAGAGCACAAGGAGTGTGCTCACGCGAGCAAGAGGCCAGGAATGATGCAACAGGGCTCTCGAGCAGGAGTGCCCACGAGCCTGTGAGTTCTTTGAGGGCAAGAGCCGGGCCACTGGGGTCTTGGGGACCTATGTTTGCCTGGTACAGAGTGAGTAGTGCCTGCTGGGGACTAGGCAGGGACCACTGCCACCTAGACCTCCACACATTCACAAGGTTGCTCTTGTCAACCCGACAACACGCAGGCAATGCTCCCCCACAATATCCCACTTTGGAAGTACTGCTTTGCTCCTAGCTTATTCCAAAAACAGCCCTTTCCTGGAGGAAAACCAAGCAGCAGTCACGAGGCCTGGATGCCTCGCTGGGTACGTTTGTTTGACCAAGTCCTTTCTTTCTCCAAGGAAGTTGCTGAGAGCCGAACTTCCTCCTCTGTTGTTCCATTGTCCCTCCAAGGGGCCCCAGCTGGATCTTTTCCTACCAAGCTCCCTTTATACCCTGCACACCTCTCTCTGTCTTTCTCTCTGTGTGTCTCTGTCTCTGTGTGTCTCTGTCTCTCTCTGGCTGCCCCCCACCCCCATCCCCCGCCCCGTCCCTCGCCGCCGCCCCGCCGCCGCCTCTACTGCTGTTTTCATTGATGCCTTGAGCAGAGCTGGCATGTGCGACTGCTGAGAAGGGGGAGCGTGGAGCAGCGGGGGAAGCAAGTAAAAATAGCCTGTCGCGCGTCGCTCTGCCTGCTCCGGACGCCTTTAACCCTCGCGGAGGGGGAGAGAGCCGCAGCTGCCACTGCACACTGCGGAATGTGGCCCGGGTCTGCACCAGACCCCACACGCCAGTCCCGGTGATGGCGGACCAGGACCCACGGAAACTTTATTTTTATTTTTAAAGACAAGCAGAGCTGAGGTAGGGTAGGGAAACACAGGCGAAGAGCTACAGCTACCGAGCTGCAGAGACTGCTACGTGCTGGCTAGCCCAACACTTCACCAGAGCTCGGCCTTGAGACTCCAAGCTATTTTTAGAAACCTGTTCCTCGGGTGGGCGATCAGAGGGCAGAGGGGGAATGGAGAGAGTCGCTCTACCGCGATGCTGAGCGCCTGGTGCTACACTCGGTTTCAAAGGTCTGCTCTCGGGCTGGGGGTGGGGAAGAGGATGGGCCAAGGAACGACATGCGGGCTGGCTTTGCCCTAACTCAAGGAGAAAACATTAGATGCTTAATGCTCCGTGTCTTTCAAGCTCCAGAGCATGTTTGTTTCAAAAATCGACAGTTGCCACAGCATGCTGCCTCTAGTGCCCAGGAAATGGGAATTCTCAAGCTTTGCTACCTACACTGTGGGATGAAAATGAGTTGTGACCTCTAGGAAAGAAGGCCAGGAAGGGTCTTCACGTTGTTTTTGCATTCCCGCAAGGCCGGGACAGTTCCCGCGCCACACCCCCATCCCCGCCCCATGCTGCATATGGGTTACCGTATGTGAAATGTACGGCAGCCCCACCAGACACCGGGCTATTAATAGAGCCCTGGAGTTTGCTCTGTGTCTTTTTCCTGCCACCGAATAAGGGATGATCACACACACCCCACTCCTCCCCCACCTCGGCGCACAGTTCCTCCGCGAAGGTAAGGGGGCTGCCCACACCGATCCCCTCTGTGACTACAGGTGCCCAGAGCCGGGGAATAATCCCGTTGTAATGACAATGGGGTCAGAGCTAGGCGAAAGAACAGACTTGCTCCGGACGCAAAGCCCCGCTGGGCTCTATCAAGATCGAGGCCAACTCTGGAGTAGAGAAAGGGCAGCTAAGGGGCTGCCGAAGACGGAGGGCAAGAGTACCATTTGCGGAGCTAGAGCGGCTTCCTTAAAAGCTGCTGCCGGACAAGTGGCGGCAGACCCATTTTGCGCTGCAGCCTAGCGTGAGCAGCCCCCACCGCCTTGTGCAGGCTCGGTTGCGGCAGGCACTGTCCCTGGTGCTGAATGGGGCCGCGGTCGGTGCGCCCTCTCCGGGTTCCGCGCTCCCGTGTCTCCTTTAGCACTCGTGGTTTGCAGACCTCCAGGCCGTCCCCGATGTGGACTGGAGGGGTCTGGTTGCAGGTGCTTGAGTACCGTCACCAGATCGGCCCCCCTGAGGCCGGGAGCTCTCCGTGGTGCTGCGGGGACCCGGAGATTGGGAACCGCCTCGAGCTTGAAGGATAAAGCCCAGGCAGCAGTGGGAGATGTCGAGGCACTGCAGGGAGTAGACCTGGCCCTAATATAACCCACCCCAGCTCTGCATAAAGCCGGGATCCGAGATCACTATCGGAATCCAGTGAACAGGGGTAAGGGAGCAGGGCTGCCCAGGGTCTGGGACTTGGAGGAACAGTAAGGGAGCAGCGGGTGGCAGGAGAGGGTGATGGGGGTGAGACTTTTACATTTTCAAGAGGGGTGGGAGCTGAGACATGCACGGTCGCCCACCCCCACCTCTACATCTCTCTCTCTCTCTCTCTCTCTCTCTCTCTCTCTCTCTCTCTCTCTCTCTCTCTCTCTCTCTCTCTCTCTCTCTCTCTCTCTGTCTTTCTCTCTCTCTCTCTGCCGCCAGAGACACAAGCGGGATGGGGAAAGTTTGGCACCGCGGCATCCGTAGTGGCAGCAGCCAGCAGAGACACACGGGGGTCCGGGTGGGCGGCAGGGTCGCCCAAAGCCCCGGCCCGGTCGCCTCCTTACCTCCGTGTTTTCGACTGCGTTCTCCGCCATTTTCCTCCGGAGGAGCAGGCAGCGGGAGGAGTGTTTCATGCCCATAAGAGCCAGCAAGGGTTTGGGGATTCGAGATAGTAAAGAAAGAGAGAGGGCTGGTATGGCTTTAAAAGAGAGCCAAAGAATGCGAGAGGAAGGGGAGGAAAAAATCCCCAGCCAACCCCTCTGCCAGAACGTCCTCCGCGACAATCGAGCTCCGTGGAGTCCCCTCTGCGGTCGCCACTTTGTTCACGTTTCCTCGCTCATCTGCCTCGCATCCCTTCGCACACTTCCAAGTTCTGGTCGAGCTCGCGACCCCCTCCGCGCCCCTTTCCCCTGCGCAGCGGGCTGGGCGGGAGGGAGGCGGCCCCGCGGGCACGCCGGCTGTAGCCGCGGTTCCGAAGTCCGGCAGGCGGGAGGCGGACGCCAACTCTCCCAACTTCTGCCGATCGCTGGGCGAAGCAACACGCGTCCTGCTCCGCGCTCCCGGGGGCTGAGCGGGTGAGTGGGGGCGGGGTGGGAGGTGCACGGGAGCGGGCGGGTGGCGGGGCGCTGACGGCGGGGACCCCCAGCCCGCCCCCGTGCCCGGGACCGCGGGGTCTGGGGGCCGCCTGCGCTGTGCTCCACTCTGCTCCCGGCGCGGCGCACACCTGGCGCGGGGGCTAGGACTGAGCGCACGCCGCAGGGCTGCGCGCCAGGTTCCCGGAAGCCTGTGTCCTGAGGTTCTCAGTCCTGGTGTATGTAGTCCTAGCTAGAGCAAGCCCGGGGCAAGACTCGGCCACCGTTACCTCGTCTCCGTCGACCCCTCCCCCGCCCCCCCGGAGGTTCCTGGATCCTTCGCGTGTTACGGTTTGGGGAGAGAAAGGATGGGTGTTTGGATAAGGGTGGGGAGTCCTTAACTCCTTCAACTCTAGGACTGAGTAGGCCGTCTCTGTTTAGCCTTTCCTTCACCCTCCCGAGCCCAAGACTAGAAGAGCTTCAAACCCCTCTCAGGGGGACCGGGTTGGGGTGAAGGTGGCCGCTCGAGGTGGCTTGGGGAAACGATCAGGAACAAGTCAATGAGAGAGCTTGCGGTCTAGCTTCCCCATCCCTGGCTTGCTTGACAGCCCCCCCACCCTGGGCCCACACGTTTCTCCCCCCCACCTCTCCCCCTCCCCCACCATCACCAGATCTTGAAGTCCCTTTTATGGGAGAGAGCTGTGAGGATGTCACGTACCCATTAGGATTCTCTCAATCCTTTTTTAAGGGAGTTTGGGCGGCAGCGGGGGGGTGTGAATTTTTATACAATGCATTCCTGTCTTCACTTTGAGAGCTTTTTTCTCTCTTTCGGGCCATCTGTCAGGCACTGGGGGATAGAACAATGCGGGAAGGAGGCGGCACTCAGGACCCTTTAGCTGGCTCTCTCAGAGGCTGAACCTTCAGGTTTTCCAACCCACAGGTCAAGGCCTGGACCTCACAGATGCCCCCCGGAGCGCTCTGCTCTCTTCATTTTGGTCCTTATTTGACTTTCTAATCCAATTGTCCTGCTTAGTCTGATCACAACCTGTGATAGCCAGGAAGTGTAAGAGTAACTGTCCTCAACTAACCCGGATCCATTGAGGAAAGGGGCCAGCCCAGGCTCAGCATGATGAATTCCTCCATCAGAACAGATCCTCCGGCAAAAAGAAGAGACACTGTCATAAGTGGGGGTGAGAAGCGAAAACCAGGAAGAGGAGACGATGAAGAATGACAAGGATTAAAGAAAATGCAGCAAGAAGCTTGGGTTAACTGAACCACATTGATTACATGTTCTGAACAAGAGTAAATTCAAGTGCATTAGCCTCAACCTCCTCGGTCCACAGACCTCAATTCGAGGTGGGCTCAAATGAGCAAATCTTTGACAATACTTGGTCCTTCCTCACGTCTATCCTGACATTCTTCCAAAAGTCGTATGTGGGAATGGGGGTATAAGTGCATCCGAAGAGTGATTCTTACCCTCTGTTACCTCCTGTTTTCTAAGCTTCTTCTCCCAGATAAAGACTCAGATGTTAGATTAAAAGAGGCTCAGTACTTGTACAATCGAATAAGACTAGGAAAGCAAGATCCACACCCACACATTGGGCCAGTCCTCTTGCAGATAAGGATCCTAGATCAGAGAGAAGGGGACATTTGACAAGCTGTGAGAACATCTGACACCAATTCTCCAGCCTCCCGACTTTCAACCCAACACTGTCCCTACCCCACACTCCTTCTGCTAGTTCATGCATTCTGTGACTAACAGGGGAGGAGGGGAGCTGAAGCAGGCTCCCACCGAAATAGGCTGCTGCTGTGCCTGATTGTGTTGCTATGAGAACCTCAGTGGGGGTGTTCCCTCAGTTCTCTGTTGAAATTTTTTGCTGTGCTTGGCTTCTCCCCAAGTACAGACACAGCTCCTGTTGGAATGGGGAAGGGACATAGAGAGCTGTGTTTTGACATCAAGAGTTTTCTATTCCAACTCAAAGCAGTCTGGGCACTGAGTGAGGTTATCTAGGCCACTAGGGTTGCTCTGTAGTGGCCAGCGGAATGTGTGACCCTATCACAGTTGATGCTCCTGCACTGCTTGAACCCTCCTGGAGCTGAGATACTGTCCCTGCCGTGGGCCCTCCTAATTACAAATTCACAGACTGAAAGGTGGAACTTCAAGTGATTTGTTACTCAACACTGGAGACAGAGAGATGGTTCAGGCCTCCAGGTGCACACACTTTGGCACATATTCACACATGGACATACAATGAATATATACACACAATTACCTGAACACCCACCTCCTAGGGTTGTGAAAATCCATGCTGTCTGAAAAACACATAGTAGGCTCTTTCCAGGTCTATTTTCTCAAATCCCCTTATTCTTGAGAAGCCAGCCTTTTCCATTTCCTTTGCATAAATAACATGTCTTCTTATCATGTTAGTTCAATTATCCCGCATGATACTGACTGGGCATCTCTTGGGTGCCTTGCTCACAATAGGAACTTGGCTTAACAAGGCAACAGAACCCACCAACTTCCACTGAGTTCTCAACTTTTTAGTCACCTTGAACAATTGGAACAAAATGTTTATAAAGCTTTTGGAGAGAGTTTGGTGGCAAGCAAGAAAACATGGGATGATAAAGACATTCAACATTTGTCATGGCATGTGTTTGATGTATTCTGTGGTCAAGTGGTCCAAAGACTCATTAGCTCATTTCCCTTGCACTAGACTTTCAACAGAAAAGAAATGTGTTGAATGGCACACAGGTATTCAGAACAATGCTGACCTGATGGTAAGAACACAAATACGTGAACATTTGCTAGTCTTGGAGAATGAGTTAAACTCCATAGAGTGTTTTACTAGGTTGTTGTAGTCTCTGTTTCTGAACAGGTTTTCATGTAGTCCTTTTGACTACTCTTTGGGGTATTGTCTCCACCAAACAAAACACAGGGGAAATGCACAGAAAGAGACAAAACCCAAAGTATTGCTCTCAGAAACACATTCAAGATGGAAGTTCAGGCAGGGTGGTGGTGGTGCACGCCTTTAATCCCAGCACTCGGGAGGCAGGTGCAGGCGGATCTCTGTGAGTTCGAGGCTGGGCTGGACCGACAGCCTCCAAAACAATACAGAGAAACCCTGTCTCGTAAAACCAAAAAAAAAAAAAAAAAAAAAAAAAAAAAAAAAGATGGACGTTCAGGACGCCTTATTCCATGTAGGGCTCTAGAGAAGTTAACTGAACTCAAACTCAAAGACCAGGACAGTGGCTCCCAAACTTAGCAGCATGATAGAACCATCTAATGAGCTTTAAACACACCAGTTCTTTGGTTCCTCCTTTAGTGATTGTTCTTAAATGGATCAGAGCATCGAGAGATTTAGGACTTAATTCTAGTAGAGAGCCATGTTGAGGAAAATGGATACAGATATTGGAAACAAGAACTGTGTAAGGTCCCTGAGGTATAGAAAAGACACCCATGTCCTGTCCCAGAACCATGAGAACTGCCCCAGTGTGGAAAGGTCTGCCTCTAATGCACACACTGTTTTCTTCCAGTACTGGCTTCCAATCCCAGCAGTCTACCACTACTGAGCCACATTCACAGTCCTTGGTTTTAAGACAGGGTCTTGCTATGTGGTTCACAATGGACTGGGACTAGGGAACCCTCCTGCCTTTGTTTCCATAGTGCTGGGACTGCAGCTGTATGCTGTGACACTGCTACCAGGACTGGCCCTTGAGATCTGTGGGATGGAGTGAAGTTGTGTTGATGCCTGGAGTAGCATGCAGGATTGAAACCCTTGGGGAAGGGTGTCATGGGAGTCCTCCAGTGCTGTGAGATGCAACTGAAGAGCTGGGGTTAGTTAGACTCATGACAAAGACATTGAAGAGGTTAAAACACCAGAAGAAGTGATTACTTATATTGTTCTATTATTAAATAAAACTTAGGAGTCAGATATTGGGGTAAAACCTGAAAGATCCAAAGAGCAGTGGGGGAAGGATCAGTTAACCCTGTCTCTCCACACTTCTAGATTGAAAAGGCAGGCCTCAGAATCCAAGCCTCTCCTTATTCCTTCCGGTGTCTCTTAATCCTAATCTGGTATGCAAAAACTCTATGGTTAATTCTGGCCATCTTAACATTGACTCCATCCTCTGATTCAAGGTTTAACTCTGTCAGTCTCAGAGTGAGATCAAAATATTCCAAAACAGGAGGTGACTTGTAAACACAGGAGGCCTATATGTTCCTACCCACCCTATTCTGGAACTCTCTAATTTTGCCTGACAGCCCATGCTGGAACCCCAGAACCAAACATTTCCTTTGATGCCTTGCCACTACCACCAACCAAGTGACCTAGAATAAGGACGCAGCTTCCCCCTAACCTATATAGACCATGCTCGGGAAGATGTAGGTGCAAACTCTGGTTTGCTCCTGCATGTAGATCTGATCTATGCACCCTCCTTGATCCCTCACATGTAACCAGGGCTCACATAGGACCACAGCACACTGCAGTGGATCCCTGCCTCCTCAGGAATTAGGCCACAGCCATTATCCATCACCACACATGGCAGCTAACCCAGCAGTGTTTTGAGGGTTGTCTGGGCCAAATGGAGTCCAGCCAAGACTGCAGCAGCCACTACCTGGCCAAGCTTGCAAAGAACCCCTTACCTGGGTGGTTCTCCTGCACAAAAACTTCTGCAGCTTTCTTCCTGACCTAAGGCCCACTGTCTTTTGTGTTTTTTTTTTGTTGTTGTTGATTCTTCGGGAATTTCACATCATGTACCCCAATGCCACTCATTTCCTCCTCTCCGTCACATATTTGCTGGGCATAATAATATTGGGAGCTGCAGTGTGTCACCAGTATACCCTTTTGCCCAAATAATTTTATTTGCAAATGTTCATTGCAATGAGCTGTTGCTTTGGATCAAGGCCTCTAGCTTCTGTTGCACCACCAATACTGAACCTTTATCGTGACTCATCTTTTTTTTTAAAGATTTATTTATTATGTATACAGTGTTCTACCTGCATGCATTTCAGATGGTTGTGAGCCACCATGTGGTTGCTGGGAATTGAATTTAGGACTTCCTCTGGAAGAGCAGTCAGTGCTCTTAACCACTGAGCCATCTCTCCAGCCCCTATCGTGACTCATCTGGGATATCCATCCTGCTGTTGCCCGGAGTCAATGGAGATCCTGCAGCTATGGCTCTGCAGGACTAGTCCCTTCACTACAGGGTCATAGATGTTGGGGTGGGCCAACTCAAACCCTGGATGTGTGTCTGGGTGGTAGCTGAGTTGGTTAGCTCTGGCCTACCGGGGCCCAACTCAGGCAAAGGCCAGGTCTCCTCTTGGCAGCCAGCGATGGGTGGAGCCAGATCTCCCTTGGCCATGCCATTGGGCCTGTTCTCCTATGCCCACACCACCACCTGCTCTGCCACACCGCTGCCAGCAAGGGGCAGGGGCAGCTTCCCCACAAATGGCAGCCAATGAGGGTCAGGGCCAGCTGTCCCATGCCCAGGCCACTCTCCCATGCCGGTGCCACTGGGGCCAGCTCTCCTGTGGAAGGCAGGGCCGGCTCTCCCACTGCTGCCAGTGAGGGGCAGTTCTCCCAGGGCCAGTTAAGGGCAAGGCCTGATCAACAGGGCTTTAGGTGGTAGTCCAGACCTCAGGCATTCTCATGGTCTTTGGTAGTAACATTGGCCACAGACATCAGCACGGATCCCAGCTTCAGTAGGGTCACAGATCCAGACATGACCCTCAGTGAAAACACAGGCCCAGTCATGTCAGCCTTGTTTCTGATGGCCTCTGCCTGTCCAGTACATGAGCAGCTCCACTTCTTTCCCACTCCTCTACCCCATATTTGATCATCATAGCAGCACCCAGAAGGCATTGTCTTCTGCCTGCCTGCAGGCCCACTGTTTTTAAATCACATCCCAAAGAACAACTTGCAGAAGTGTCCCAGGGCCTGTGGAGCACTAAGCTGCCTTTCCTCCCTTTTTTGACATTAAGACCAGAATATGATTTCTTTCTTCATCTCATAGTGTCTGATTAAGTCGCTGTGGTTTTTGTTATGTGTGACACTATTTGGCATGGTAATACTATTTGGGAGGCCTTTTGTTATGGTTCTGCATTGGTAAGGTTAGCCTTTGGTGCCTTGCACTCTTCAAGTTCTACTGCTGGGCTGAAATACAACTCAGGGCGGGGGGAGGGGGCATGCCAAGGCCCTGGCTCCAATCGCCAGCACGACAGAAAAAAATTAAAAAAAGAAATATTCTAAAGGCTGGTGAGATGGCTTACTGGATAATGCCTGTTGTATAAACATAGCAACATAGCGATCTCCTGTTTGAATTCCTAGAACCCCTGTAAAAGCTGAAAGCACTGGAAGGCATCTATAAAATCCCAGTGCTAGAGGAGAGAGTAGGGGAGGATCCATGATGTTCAATGGCAAACCAGACTCACCAGCTGATGAGCTCTGGCCTGTGAGTCCAATGAAGGACCCTGTCTCAAAAAATAATGTGGCGAGTGATTAAGGAAGTCATCAGACATTGACCTCAGACCTCCATGCATATATAGACATTCATGCATATCCACATACATGCACCCCCATATAGAACACATCCAAGCTACATATACCTTCCCCTGCAAATCTAATACCTTGGTTACCTACCTTTCTTTATGGATGATAAGGGCCAAAGTATAAAGATATATGCTTATTTTTCTCAGTAGTCTAGCTTCTTTGGAGACACAGAAGAGCCTTAAGGTTCCAAAATATTCCAAAGTGCTGTCAAAACAAAATTAGCTTTTCCTACTTGCTAAATAAAATTGTCCATGTCTTCCTTCTCAAGTTATTCATATTTACCTTTTTACAGCAAATCCCTTCCAAGCACCCCTTATCATCATTAACGCTGACTGGCAACCTTATTCAGCCTCTCCTGTGCAGTAGTTCAATGCATACTTTTCCTAAGAACTGAAGATGGAGGTTTTCTGTCCCGTGGCTGCTTCAGTCCCAAATAAGCACACAAAGACTTATATTATTAAACTGTTGGTCAATGGTTAGGGCTTCTTACTGGCTAGCTCTGTCTTAACTATTAGGCCATGTAGAAATACACAGATTAGTAGTTATGGATTGTCTTACCAGAGAATGTCTGGCAAGTCCTATCCTCCCAGTCCCTCTCTGCCTCACTTTCCCAGAGTTCTCCTCATCTCCTTGTCCCACCTATCTTCCTGCCTCTATTGGTCAAACAATGTTGTATTCATCAACCAATAAGAGAAACATACAGAAGAGAACCCATCAAAGAGTCCTTATGCATAAATGACTACGGATCATTTCTGGACTAAGATGTGTAAAGCTGAGTGCCTGGCCTTGGTGGTGCTTATCTGGGAAGATTTTTGTCAGATGATCAACTCTAGTACAGTCAGTGTTCTGATAGCCTCAAATACTTTTGGGGTCTTGTGAATTGGTTCTTATAGGTCCAATACAGTCATGATCAATGGCTTATCATCAAATATTGAGATGAGCATGGAGATCCTGAAAGGTGTAAAATCTGTGTCAAAAACCTAAGTCTCTACACCAAGAAAGTTAGGGACACATTCCATTATGAAGATACAATTCTGGGAAGTGCTGCTGCCTCAATTATCCAAATGCACTGTGATTGCACTTGATCATAACACAGTCTGCAAGCAAGACTGATCTCAGGTAGCCTGAAAACTCAGTGATCCTGTAGAGCCAAATAAAACCATGAATGAGTTTTCTTCATGGACCATTTAGTGACCATCATGACCACTTTCTTCTATCATTTAAGACTCCACTGGGCTGAGGAGATCAGTAAAATGCTTGTCTTGCAAGCATGAGGACCTGAGTCTGATCTTCAGAACTCTCTTTTTAAAGCCAGGCATGGTGTCATGTACTTACAACTGCAGCAGAGCGGATATGAAGACTGGAGGAAGGTCATTTGGACTCACTAGCCACCATCATAGTCTAAAGCTGCAGAGAAGTGAGAAACCCCAAAGTAACAGCTCCTGAGAAATGGCACCTGAGCACCTGAGGCTGTCCTCTTGCTGTCACAAGCATGTATGCACTCCCCTCCCCCCTCTCATACACACACACACACACACACACACACACACACACACACACACACACACACAAAATCCATCTCTGAGTGTCACCACTGACATTTTCCAGCTTGGCCTTGGAGTTTTGTTTCTGTACCTATATAATATGCAACTGTGTAGGCACAAGTGTGTGCATGCACACATATTGTGTGCCTGTGTGTGTGTGTGTGTGCATGTGCACGCACGCCTGTGTGTATTTGTGTATGCATGTATGTGCATGTGTGCAGTGCCTGATGTTGCTATGGCAACTGAATCATTTGAAACTTATTTCCCTTGTTAAACAAGCCTCTTTCCAGATTATCACATATATATCCAAGTTAATTTTTAAAACTGTAAACATCTTGCATGGGCGAACCCCACTTTACAAAAAGGAGCCCCTATTGAAAGACTTTCAAGTTGTTAGTTTCCTGTCATTCTCAGAAATTTATAGTAAATGTTCTTTTACAAATATCTTAAGAATAGGAGCCTTTATTTCCATGTGACGGCTTCCCAAAAGTAGTATTGTGTAGACAAGAGGTTCTGTTCCTCCTGATTCCACAGCTGTTTAGCCCCAAATAAACATACAGAGACTTATTAATTTTAAACTGTTTGGCCAATGGCTGAGGCTTCATACTCGCTAGCTCTCTCTTAATTACTAATCCATAATTATTAATCTATGTATTTCTACATGACCTTATCTTACCAGAGGACTCCTAGCCTGTCCCATCTTCCCAGTTGTTACACGGTGGTGTCTCTCTCTGGTGGCTTCTCACGGCCTTTTCTCTGCCTAGCATTTTTCGAGTCTGGTGACCCCACCTATCCTTCCTGCCTGGCTACTGGACAATCAAGTGTTTTATTCATCAACCAATAAGAGAAACATATATACAGAAGAACATCCCCCATCAGTATTGTCTCAGTTTGTATTGTCAAATGCTAACCAAGCTAGAGGTATAGCCCGAGTCCTCGGAAGACAAAAACTCCACCTTCCTTCCCTTATGTGCCCTAATGTTGTGTGCAAAAACACCCTCTGCATCCAAAACTGAGATCAGAGTCTTGAGGCAGACCTACAATATCGAAGTCACAATCGTGTCAGAAAGGTGTGTCCATAGCTTGAGCCTCTCAGAGAAAATTTAAAAGAGTCGCTGAGACCTGTGGTGCTTTTCAGTGATCATCTTTCCAGCGCCCAGAGTGCTCCCAAATGCTGGACAACAGGTATGATTTCGATGTTTCCAAAACCTTCTATGATCTGAAGAACAATAAAACTCTTTTTAATTGGCACCAATCTTCTGTCTGGAAGAGATAGCCAGAACAAACCAGGCACCCTTGGGTCCCTTTTCTTCCAGGCTGTGCTGTGGCAGTGCCTAGATCAATAGCAATTACCACTTTTTGTACCAACTAGAAATCTTGCCACCACAAAGCCACCTGCTATCTCTGTTAGAGCTGTGCTCCCCTCCTCTATGGAACAATGCTTCCTGTATTCAGGGTTGCCCTATCAGGAGTGACTCATCTAGTACTTGTCACACTAGGAAAGTTCACAATTTAAAGTCTTCCACCTGAGTCCATGCTTCGGTATCTGATGCCTAGAGTGAGTGAGTCAGCTGCTCCTTCTCCGTGCACGTGGAAAGATGGCTGGCACTGGCTAGCAGAGGGTGTGAGGTACACAAGCTCACGGGAAATGGCGCGTGGCACAGTCCCTAGGTTACAGTGGTTTAAGGCAGGGGTGTTTCCTTTCTAGTTTTGCTTCTCAGATGATGCCAGCACTAGAGGAGAGAGAGAGAAAAAATCTGGGAAAGTTGCCTAATACCTTACTCCCCATTTCGTTCTCTTAGAACAGGGATTTCCCTGAGAAAGGCCTACTTCCATTTCTTTGTCTCCTTAGGAATGCTGTGACAGTCACAACTCTTCATACACCCAGTAACCACGAAGACTGACCAGACACAGCTCACACAGCAGCAAAATGAGGAATGAAGAACAGAATATGCCCAACTGTAAGAGAGCGCATAGGCTCCTGTGTCTGAAGGCTTGGTTGCCAGCTGGTGATGTGGGATAATGCTCTTGTACACTGTAAAGATTTGCCACTAATATCGGTTTAATAAAACACTGATTGGCCAGTAGCTGGGCAGGAAGTATAGGCAGGGCTCAGACTGAGAACTCTGGGAAGAGGAAAGGCAGAGACAGAGTCGCCAGCCAGATGCAGAGGAAGCAAGACGAGAACACCTTACTGAGAAAGGTATCAAGCCACATGGCTAAGAATTATGGGTTAATTTTAGCTGTAAGAGCTAGTTAATAAAAAGACTGAACAATAAGCCAAACAGTTTATAACTAACATAAAACTTTGTGTGTTTATTTGGGACTGAATAGCAGCAGGGCCAGCAGGACAGAAACTTTCTTCTTCAAGCTGATGATTCTGTTTGGGGAAGTCGTGGAACGTTAGGTGGCCAAGCCTTGGTGGGGGAAGCAGGTCACTGACTGCAGGCCTTGGGGCCTATCTACCAGCCCCATTTCCCATCTTGTCTTTGTCCAATGTTCTGTCAAATATAGAGAGTCCCAGTTACAGTTTCCTACTGCCATAGAGCTACTTGCAACCATGCCCTTCCCTCATGATGCACTCGAGCCAAAAGAAAATCTTCTTCAGTTGCTTTCGTCAGTTATTTGGCTACAACTATGAGAAAAGTATCCAATGTAGAAAGGAAATCCAATACCTAGGTCACCAGAGCCTGATGGCGGCCCACCGTCCTGTTTTCCATGGTGTGTAGTATCTTCTGTGAGTCATGTCTTGGCCTTTCTAGAGATGAGAAGGCATTTCAGTGACAGCAACTAAGCAGCCAATACCACAGTTATTCTATTTCTCTGTTGCTGGTCAAGAGCAGAGCTTGGTGGGGGGAAAAACTGATAAATTTCTCTCCATCAAGGGCTATTGGACCTAAAAACAGTTCCTAGTGGTGCAGGTTGATGTACAATTAATCAGCAAATAGACCTGCTCCAAGTATCAAGATGCATAAAATAAGAGTTGTTGCTTTTTTTAAAAAACGGGGGAGCACTTGTCAGTGATTCTTGACATCAAAATTGATCCAGATGTATGGATAACCTGGCACACAATGAGGGTCACCAAAGATGTCCCCAGTAGCGGTCATCTGGCTCAGGTGAGACAGGCAAGGCGTGTCCCTTTCTGTAAGCCACCCACTCTGCACCTAGCCTACTTGCAGGGAAACATACATTGCTCACTATCCTGACTAAATTCTCAACCAGTGCTCCCAATGGTCCTACGGTTGTTTCAAGTTATTCCACGGGAAAAGTGACATTCATGCAAGGGCACTGTCCAATCCCACAGAGAAAGGAGTTCTGCTTCTTGGACTTACCAGTATCCGTGTGATCCAAACACAGCTATGGCTCGGTGTGGTCAAGGCCTATCTTCTCCTGGGGTGGACATATTTCAGGTAGGTCTGTCTCTTCTGTGACCGGGAGTCTTCCTCCCTGGGTGTCGTAAAGGTAGAGAAGAGAGTGCCTGTTTCCTTAGTGTGAGGTGTGCATGGCATGGACTCTGTGGGCCATGTGCCCCACTCATTGCCCCACCAGATCCTCTCGGCAGCCTCAACTTCAGTGCCCACTCTTATCCCCATTGTGTATGTCAAGGGCGGATGGCAGAGAAACGCTGAAAGGCTTGAGATAAAGGACAAGGTCACAAATTCAGTGACTGAATTTCACATAAACTTGTTTTCCTTGACACCGCCAGTAGAAGGTCATAGACTTTGGCCTTAAATTTGGGCTCTGGCATGTAACTAACTCTGTGACCTTGGACACAATGCTTATCTTCCCTTCCTGTCTACAAATGGGAGTAGATGGTAAAGTCCCTAACAACAAATGAAGAGTGGTGACATAAAGCATACAGCTGGGCATGACATCAGCAAAGCTGAATCTGCTCCTGGACTCTTGGGTGCAGGGACAAGTGCAAAAAGGACACCCCATCCCCGAGGCCAGAGGACCTGCCAACTTCGAAATGGCTAGAGACAAGAGCAACCACACCTAACTGACACCTATCAACCTATATTCCTGCCCTCGGTGCTGTCTGTCACATCTGCTTAGTAAATCCTCCCAAGGGTATGTCACCCAGGTTGCATAATACCTTTGCAGGTATGGAAGACGCTGTTTTTTTTTTAACTGCTGGAAAAATTCAGCTTACACAAAGCCCATCCAAAAGACACCAGAATTTAGCTAGTGAATCCTGAAAATGGAGTTTGTCATGGGAAGGAAGAAAGGATCCAGGACATTGGCAAGAGGATGGTGATGTCAGTATAAACTGAATACATGCCCATTTTCCAGCATGAAAAGATGGTCCAGTTGTTTTCCTGACTTATTTCTTCTCTCATCTCTTTCTTCCTCCCCCCCCACCCCCATCATCTTCTGCTCTGTCCCCTCGTCACCAATCTACTGTCAACAGAATGTCTTATTCCACACTGAGAGTAATCAAACTCAGTATCTGAACTTTTCTTCCTGGTCCATGAACCATGCCTTGGAACATTCAAGTCATAGTTTCTGACAGAAAGACTCTGAAATCAAATCTTGCCCTCTCCCTTATTTCTTCTTTAGTATCGCATCAGTTAGGACAAAGAGGTGTCTTTTCTTCTCCTGGTTGTGTAGTAGGGTCCTTGAAACCATTCTTGTCTCTCCTCTTTCCCAACTTTGCCACACCTATTGAATCACAGCCTGCATTTGGGTGTGTGAAATGTCATATGCGTGGACCAATGAGCCCATGAGTCATTTTTGTCCAGCATTTCAGGCAGAGATGTGATGATATCACTAGGAGACTATGGCCTGCATCACACTAGGTAGAAATGCTCTGGGGTCCTCCCCAGGTCCCTCTTCTGATGGGATGCCTGTAATGGGCAAACCTCCCAGCGTTGTCTAAGAGACCCACATCATACATATTCACAGCAAACCTTCACCTTGAGCCCCCCTGGGTCATCTTCTCATAACTCTTAAATTGCCTTACTGCCACCTGATTTGACAATGACCCTCATGAGAATGTGGAGTGAAGGGACTAGACCCTCAACCAAGCCCCTTGCTTTGGCAACCATGACAGACTGCAGAAAAGACCCAGCAAGACAAAAGCCTCTGACTCAGCAACATGTGCTGGGCTTCCTGACTTTGCCCAACCTCCTAGTCACTAGGAAGCCAAATACCTCCATGTGGCAAGGAACCAATCAGAAGTTAGCTGGCGGGCTCTGAATATGCTTTACAAGCTCTGGATGTGCTTTACGGCAATAGTGATTGTGCAGAGCATAGCAACCACCATAGGAGGGTTAGCTTGGAAGTGCACCAATCCTGAGACTGTTGCAGACCCCTAGACAACCCCTTGCTCTATCCCCAATAAATTCCCTGCCTCTCGGGTTCTCTGGGTCCTTCTTGCCCCACCTGCTATGTCAGACAGATAAAGGAACCATGTCAATACACTTACTTCGTTAAATAATAAAAGACTGTTTGCTTTTACATCAGAATGGGTCTCTTGGTGATTTTGGGGTTCAGAATTTGGGCACAACATGGAGAGCTATTGGTGGGTCCAGTAAGTTGCCAGCACCCACCCATGTTCAAGTCTCATTAAGTCTCTTGCAAAAACAACCTTTTCATCTTATTTTTCCCCTAAGCTACCCTATTGTCCAGAAGACATAGAGAGTACATTGTGGCTTCTGCCATCCATGTCTCTCCTTGTGTCTTCTACTCACAGAATACCAGTACAAACTCCTTCCTCTTTCAGCCACACACAAAAGTCCCTTTAATGGTTCATCTATGCTGTCAACTTGACTGGATTTAGAGTCACCCAAGAGACACACCTTTTGGTGTGTCTTTGAGGATGTTTCTAGAGAGACTTAACGGAGAAATTCTACCCTAAATGTGGGTATCACCATCCTACGGGCTGGGATCCCAGATGGAATGAAAAAGACAAAGGAGGAAACCAGCTAAGATGGAATGAAAAGGACAAAGGAGGAAAGCAGGTAAGTACCAGCATTCACCTCCCTCTTCTTCCCGAGTAAGTATAGAGGAATGAGACCTGATACTTGACACTCCCTCCTGCCACACCTTCAGCACCGTGATGGACTACACCCTCTTTGCCGGGTATTTTGTCATAGCCATGAGAAAAGTCACTGATACCGTGTTCATCCAGGACAATTTGTGAAGAAGGAAGCTTTGGGTTGAGGGTTAGGAGGCCTGGTCCTCACCAGATCTCAGACTCAGTTACGTAGGAGTAGAGCCCTGGGGCCTCGTCTGGTGGCTTGTGCGTGTGCCCAGTCCTTTCCCTCTAGGTTTCAGGCTTGCTTAAGTCTTGTGCATGGTATTTCCCACAAATGTACCTGGTCACATCCTATGTTCTACATCCAGTTTGGTAGGTGACAGCATTTATGGAATATCTGCAGCAATGTGGGGACCATCTCTTAAGTCCCAAATGTTATTACAATTTCCAAAATCCCCATCATGGTTTCTCCTCTGTCTCATCATCGCCAAGGATGAATGACACTCTTAGGAGGGAACAACCCCTCCTGTCTGTGAGCTGTTCCCATCTGCTGCTGATGGGTCTGTATCCATTGAAGACACTTTGGAAGACTGTTCAGTCTCCACAAAAGAATGAATCTCTAATGGTGGAAAGTCAAGCATCAGAAACAGGGTTGTGTGGTTCCAGAGGTGTTCCAAAACCCATAAAATCATTTTATACTTGTATATAATTATAGCTACATAATTCTAATTCTTTAGCCCACTGCTAAGTTGTGGCCTGGTGAATGAGGAAAAGTGTAAATTTATAGGAAGAAACAAATATACAATAAGAATGTCAAATTCTAGTCTCAGTTGTTTTTCATGTTACTGAAGGCCCCAAGGTAGTGATGGGTCAGCTAAGACAGAAAGACCCCTGGAAAATTGGGACTGGTAGCAGCTACAGTCTGGGTCTGTCTTTAAGGTCCTCTGTATTACCAAGCTGCATGTCTTCCTCAATATTTAGAAGTGTTCAAGTCTTTGGTAGTATTATTGTGAGTCCTATGGTTGACATTCAGAGTACAGACACCGTTCCTAGCCCTCTAGGAAGAAAAGGGGAAGGAGGAGACAGTATTTATGAAGTTTGAGTAGCTGGGGCAAAAGTGTTTGGGTCTCAGGAATAACCAGCCATACTTGTCTTCAAACTTTAATTTTGAAAAAAAATTAAATACGAGTAGAAATAATCTGTTTTTTTCCATCAAGCCAGGCTTGAAGACATGTATCCTCTGGAATTGAACCATTGCCCATGGACATTGGAAGGAATGTGTTGGGAACATGCATCCAGAGACTGGTACTTCTGGGTATCCATCCTGCAAGGTAGCCTTACATAAACACCTCCTTCACCTTCCAGCTCCACTTTACAAGTCTCACCCACTGTCATGCATCTCCCCTATTTTTCTCTAGTTGGATTTAGAGGCTTTGCAATGGGGATAATTCACATGAAGAGAGGCTAAAAAGTCTGAGGGTTGAACTTGACACTAATATGTCAGCTTCAAGAACCAAGAGGGCAAAGATGGCAGGAGACCATGTGCATGCCACTGGAGCTCTTGGATGGATGGGAAAACCCTGATGCTGGTCCTATCCTAAGTCACAGTAGGTCTTCAAGGGAGGCATGTCATTTCTTGATCCACAGCAGGAAATGCAGGGAAATTTTCCTGGCGGGTACTGTGGCAACTACTTCCTTAGGAGTATTTAAAAAGCAAAAAAAGCAAAGATGATTAGCTGAGGAAACTGCTTTCAGTCTGATTATGCCTCGAGCCAGGGACCAAGACATCATTACTCCGAGGAGTTCCTTCTACAGTTTACTTCCATGATTACAATAAAAGGGCTAAAACATACTGGCCAGGTTCATGGTGCAACTTGGGACACAATTAAAAAGCACAGCGCCTGCTCCCCCACAGTTCTGGAGAGGTGGGGACAGTGAGGAGCAAATGGCTAGATGACAAAGGGTAAATGATGACAAAGGGTAAATGACGACAAAGGGTAAATGGGACTTTGTCCTGCAAGAACCAGCACCAGCTATGAACTGCAGAAACCAACAGGAATCACAAACTCAAGATCGAAATAGAGTCCCACTTGGCTTTCCCAAACAAAACAGCAGGCAGAGGACAGAAATTTGAATGTGAAGAATTATTTTAATAAAGAATTTGAATTGTTTCTGAATCCTGCTCTGTGGATAGGCTTCCCAAGGGATCCTGGATAACTTACTGTCCCCTTGCTGGGATCCTGGTAGCTGGACAAGCATCTGGATTAGCCTCCTTTCCATTGGTAGCCCCACTCAAGAAGGATGCCAGAGACGCATGCTGTGGATCAGCCCTGGTCTTCCAGAAGCTATAGCCTCCAAAAATAGCCTCTAAGTCTGCCAGGTTCTCTTTCTGACTAGCCTCCCTCCTCCATCCAGCAGAGCTGGCCATGCCCCAGGATGCCAAGCCACTGAGTAACTTAAGAGGCCAAATCCATGCCTTGCTCTGTTCAGTGGAGTATGTGCCTATGGTCCTGGACAATCAAGTCTGCCTTTGTGCTTCTTCCAATAAGAAAAATTATTGAGATGTATTTGCTGCAAACTCCAACTTCTGTCTGGAAAAAAACAATTATCCCAGTCTCACTTCTAGGTGTTCCCAAGTGAATTTAAGGGACAATAAACATTAACGAATGGGTGTCAATTCCAGGCAGGTAGCCATACTCTTTTCCCAAAGATTTTAAAATTTTTAATTATGTATGTTTGTGTATGTGTATGGGGGCGGTGTGTATGAGTGCACTTGCCCTTGGGCATCAGATCCCCTGAAGCTGGAGTTACAGGAAGTTGTGTCAGCCATTTGATGTAGCTACTGGGAACTGAACTCATTTTCGCAAGTGCTGTCTCTCTAATCCTCCTTCCCCCAGGTATCCATAACTGCCCCAGGTGCAAAAGAGACAAGTCTGTTTGAGGCTAAGAGACACCGCTACAGTCTAGCCATTGACCTCTAAAAAAAGACCTCAGTTCATGCCCCCTCAGCCACCACTCGGCTGGTGAATATAGGGGGCCGCCTTACTTTGCAGTCTGTAAAGCACAAGTCTACACAACAGAGTAGTTTTCTTGACTCCTCTCCCCATTGTTTTTCTTTTAAATAAGGATCCTTAGTGATTTGTGTGTGCAAGCCAAGAACTGATGAACTCTGAACCCATGATGCCCAAAATAACTTTTCAGCCACACATTTGACAATTGTGATGCATCTATAGCACCAGGCCCTGTCTTTCCCAGGCAGCTTTTGTGGTTCCATTGCTCTTTCACATGTGTCCTGTCAGTGAGAGGTTTTGTCACACTTACACTTGCTCCTGCCCAGAAGCCTCCTCCCCTCATGTTGTCCTAGTACCTCGATGTCTCTGTTTGGTCATGGATCTTTTCTCAAGCATTCTAACTTGGCAGTTATTTACAGCTATTTAACACTTGGACTTTTATCTCATTGTATTTCTACTGTTTGGTTTCATTTCTTCTCTCCACCCTATCCTCTAAGACTCCTTACAGAGAAACGCTCAACTGTCCAGACATCCTTCCCATCTCAACCCTTAACTTTCCAAGTCTCTACACATCATCATCTTTTTAGGTGCTGAAGTCCAAGAGAATTCCCATTCCATCTTCACCGGTTTTCTCTTCAGTTCTGTTCACTCTGCTATCCAAAAGCAATCCGTTGGTGTTAAATGTTGAACAGTTTGGTTCCCAAGGCCTCTCTGTATATCTGCTGGCCACATTTCCTTCCAAGTTCCATTCTGTTTACACATCACCTTTCCTCCACTGTCAACTCTGTTGTACAACTCAGAGCTCTGATTCCTCATTCATGCTGTTCATTTGTGTATGGGAAAGTTTCTGTGAGCCTGGGAACCTGGAGTAAACTGCTGTATCTACTGTGGGCAAGTTTTGCTTCCTTCTATCCAAAACAGGGAAAGTGTCTGTCATTGGTAGAGTGAGGCAGCAGAGGCGTCAGTCTCTTAGCTTGTGTAGACTGAAGAGCTCTACTTGGAGCCTCCGGCGCCAACATCTGAGAAGTCCAGGTCAAGGGTAGCTATGGAGCAATCACCTTGACTATCTGATCATCCTGGCAGCCACAATCACTCGCCCCCCTGTGTGTTCTGGGCTTCCTTCCTCCCCATTCCTGTCACTTAGAAACCCAGGCACAATTTTCACAGGTCACTCCTGCAGCAGTGTTCACAGCA